CATTCTCCTTCACCCCATTTATCCTAATAGTCCCATAAGATAGGTGAGGTTGAAAAGGGGGATGAGAGGGAGAGAGGGAGGAGAGGAGAGGTGGACGAGAGAGAGGAAAATAAAAGTCCTTATTCAATCACAAAGGAAGTACAGTGTTGGTACACTGTAGAACAGAAGCCACCCAGATTGAGGAGCATGGGTAGTCCAGTCCTCTATGTCATTATACAGAACACATGTGTACAACTGCTTGAAGAGGGGGAGGCTGTTGTATCTAAGTAAACTCTCAATATGAACTAGAATCTTGAACCTGTGGGGGCAGGCAATGAGTTTGGCTCACATGGAGAAACTACCCAAGTACATCATTCTCTTCATCTTCAGTCAGGCTTCCTTGTTCATTGCAATAAGGAAGGGAACAGGTATGTGGTTTACCATCCATGGTGGTTGGATCCATACCCTTTGTGAATAACTGAACACAACAACCATGAGACAAATCAGACTGAGAATTTCATAGGTGGCTTTCCCAACCCACTCTCCAAAACTGCTTTAGGTGTCCTGAAGTTACTCCAGTGGTGGAAGGATAGAAGGTGACAAAACTGTGCGGTAAGCTAAATCAAAAGCAGGTGCCATCGCATCGCCTTGTCCCAGCAAAGGGATTCCGGCTCTCGGAAATGATGCCAATAAATCTCAGGTTTCAAACTTGGCAGCCCTCACTGGGTGAGAATGCCCGCATTCTTCAGAAATCTCCTCCACGTTTCCAAAGAAATTCACTCCTGAAAAATCAAACAAGTGTTGAAAGTATGAGAGGGTCAACAAAAAAGAGACACAGTGATATGAGAAATATTGAAAGTAGAAAAACATTTGCAAGGTCAGAGAACAGGCCTCAGGCTTTCTTTCTTTCTTTCTTTCTTTCTTTCTTTCTTTCTTTCTTTCTTTCTTTCTTTCTTTCTTTCTTTCTTTCTTTCTTTCTTTCTTTCTTTCTTTCTTTCTTTTCTTTCTTTCTTTCTTTCTTCTTTCTTTCTTTCTTTCTTTCTTTCTTTCTTTCTTTCTTTCTTTTTCTTTTCTCTTTCTTTCTTTCTTTCTTTTTCTTTCACTCTTCTGGCTGGTTTACAGCATAATAGAATACATAAACATATAATTTATCAGAAATGTATAAATAAACAATGGAAGGAACAAAAACAGTGGGAGAAATAAAAAACGATGGCACTAAAGGCATATTATTTTGTAACAGCAGGACAAGAGACATGAAATCAAGCAGGGTCATTGTGGAAGGCCTCCCTGAAAAAGCACCATTTTGAGCTGCCTTCTAAACATTATCGGGGAGGGGGCCAGCCATAGCTCCACTGGGGAACTGGTCCCACAGAGTCGGTGTCACCACAAAGAAGGCCCAACTCTTATAGAAAACTTCTGGGTCTCCCTCAGAATAGCTACCTGTAGGAGCATTGCCTGGAAGGATTGAGTAGATGACATTGGGGGAGGTTCTCTGACCAGTAGCGTGGTTGCAAACTGTGGAGGGCTCTGTACATAAGGTCAGAAAAGAACAGGCCTCAGACGTGGACAAGAAAACCCCCCCCCCACAGAAATGCACATGGGCTAATGAAGATTCTAATTTGTGACGGTCAGGAGTAGGGCTGGTTGTTTGTGTCCCTTCACAAGATTCAGATCACAGAAGTAACTCCTTTTTCTGATTATGAATTTTGTAAAAAACTTTACATTTTGCTGGAATGATCTGGAACAAAATTATTTGTTTCCTTTGTAATGGTGAGGGCTCTGATTCTGTACTGGCAGGCGAGAAGGCAACCAGTGAAGAATGCAGAAGTGTAAGCATCGCTCCAGTTTTCATCCTACGGCTGTGTTACAGCCCCGCATGTCAGGCATGGACAACTGCAGGAGCTCTCTCTTTTTTGAGAAAGAGAGAGAGAGAGCTGTATGCATTTGTATGGCTCAGATGGTCTGATTCCTTGAGCCTCTGTTGCTTAATAGCTTATCGGCAACCACAAGCAGGCCTTCCACACTTCCTTATTTAAGGTGAGGAAGCAAAGGGTGTTCATGGGGGCATTAACTTCCCAACTGTTCCTTCCTTAAGCAGGCTGATTACCCTCAAGTAGGTTGATTACACATTTGTATGCCAAACACCTGTTTTGGTTTTTGAGGGCTGCTTTTCTTTCGAATGTGATTGGAGGTCGAATGCTGGAATCGAGTGACACAGGCCAAGTTGGCAAAGAGAACTTTTTTGGGCATTGTTTTAAAGGCCACAGTCCTCTTTCTCAGAGACTCTCTGTTGTGACATCTATGTTTGCTGCAGTTCTCCCTCTTTTCTGGCATTTTCTATTTTTAATTTTTTTTTTTTGGGGGGGGTAACTTTCTATTATCTGAGGCTGGTTTTATCAATAAAGTGTTGGACTGCAAGATGGGAGAGCCAACCAGATGTATCCCACAGCCACTTTGGCCCTATTCAGTCATCAGGGAGGTCTGTGGGGGCTATCCACATTTGGAGAGAGGGCCACACTAGCCCCAGTCCCTCCATCATCCTGTTGAACAAGAACATGTGATTGCCTGAGGGGGGACATGGTTGAGACATATAAAATTATTCAGTGGATGGATAAAGTGGATGGAAGGAAGCTCTTTTCCCTTTCATGCAATACACGAACCAGGGGACATCCACTCCAATTGAGTGTGGGGAGAGTGAGAACGGACAAAAGAAGATAAAACATACTCAGTGTGTTTTAGTCTGTGGAACTCCTTGCCACAGGATGTGGTGATGGCATCTGGCCTAGATGCCTTTCAAAGGGGATGGGACAGATTCCTGGAGGAAAAGTCCATTGCAGGTTACAAGCCATTATCCAGGCTTCAAAGGAAGGGACCTCCAAATGCCAGATGCAGGGGAGGGGTATCAGGAGACAGGTCTCTCGTTGTCTCAAGTGCTCCCCGAGGCCTCTGGTGGGGCCACTGTGAGATACAGGAAGCTGGGCTAGATGGGTCTTTGGCCTGATCCAGCAGGGCTCTTCTGATGTTCTTATATTCTTAACCTAATATTTGCCATAACACAGAACCTTCCAATACATCCATTCTCAATGGGAGCCATGGCACAAATGCCCTGTCATCTAGCCATTGTTAAGATTGGAGGAGGAGTGAGGCTGGCAGATGGCCTTCCAACAATGCTGAAGTCAAGTCTGCTGACACTCTTCTTATATAGAATTCTTCTAGAATTCATCTAGAAGCAGTGTTAACAAATTTGTTGTTGTCTCTTATTTTTGTGATTGGTGCAAAAAGCCCATAACATTTATTTCCAGACTGAACCACGCTCCTAAAATTGAGAAAAGGTTATCACAAACAATATATATTCACTTTATTGATATTTGCAGGAATACATTTTATTGAGTGAATAATCTGACATGGGAGACTCCACCGGTTAGGTTTCCTCACCAAAAGGGTGATTTACCAGCTTACATATGAAGTCCAATAAAGTTATCATCTCAGTTTAGAGCCTGGAATCTGCTGGTTATAAAACAGAAGGAAGCTGATGTGCTGTCATTCACAATATACAAGGCATAACTGGCAACAGATTGGAAAACCTGGGGCTATGGAGTTATGATTGAAGTCATAGAAAGCTTTGGATGATTGACCAGACACATGGGACATTGTAGACCTGTAAAGATGGAATAATTGTAAAGCAAAGAACCTGGTAGATATCCCTAAGAAAGCAGCTTTTTACAAAATATATCCCTAATCAAGCAGTTTTATAGAAGAATAGATCTCAACAACTGTCTACAGGAGTGATTGCTACCATCTTTGTTTACTGTTTTCAAGGTATGCAGATATGTGTTTTTGGGTTACAATTGACCATTAACTTCAAGAAGCACTCTCTAGAAACCTTCACTCAGCTGTGTGAAATGCTATGAAATGTTTACCACCACTGAAGTTTTGAAAAGCCAAATGTCTTGCCTGTTTTGGCTTTGTTTGGTTTGTTGTTTTTTTTAAAAAGGCATTAAGGTAAAAGATAGCAGTGAAATTGCTAACCTTTGACACTTCTCATGTAAGTAAGTTTCAGGGTAAGCAACAATAAACAGAACATGTGTGAGTATCTTCAGCACCTGGAAAAGTTTCTTTTTAAAAACCACAGCCCTCAGAATCTCCCAAGCAGCAAAGGCACTGGTCACGTTAGCTGTGCAAGTCTAGAAATTTGGGTACCGCACCAGTTCCTCACAAAATAGCTGCTCATGTTGCTCTCCCACGATGTCTTGTTCCTCTCAAACATTTTAATGGGAGATGATGGCCTTGACTGGCAAGGGTTGAGCACGCTGAAGGGTTGATAACGCTTCCTCTTGCCACGTTTCCATAATTTGCCTCACATTTCCAAAAACCGCTGAAAATTCCCCATGCTCAACCCCATTTTCATGGCTTCTACATAGCCATGGGAATGGCTTGGCCTTTTGATTCAGCCCTCTAGTAGGCCAACCCAAGCCAGTCTCAAGGCCTTCTTACTATTTCAGACTATTTTCAGGGGCTGAGGTAGAGTGGCCCCTTGCACATCGTGAAAACGAAAGATACAATGATGTACAAGTTTTTGAAATGATTTTTTATAATTTAAACATCCTCAGAGTACATTTTACTCATGGGTTATTTCAAATGCAGGCAGGTTTCTACACACCTCTTCTACTTCATGTTATTCTGAGGGATGAGAAATAGCTGCAGCATTTCAAGAATACCCGATTTGAGTGAGGTGACTTCTTTCCTCTCCAAGCAATTCAATTCAGCAGAGATGGCATGTTCCTTCTCTCCTCCACTATATCCCCAAAGCCTTATAAAGTATCACTACTTCATTTTGCTAATTAATTTTCAGTTTTTAATACATACACACACACACACACAGAGTAATCAAAACATGGCATTCAATGCATTATTAGGAAACAAATTTCTGAAAGACTTTATTTTGTTCATATAGAAAGTATCATTACATACTCCTTTAAAGGCAGAAGATGTGGTATGATGTGCTTTTTTTGCAATGTTTCTTTTTAAAAGGGAAAAATGTTAAGAATCTCCTCAACATGCACAGCTCTCTATGGAATAATAGGGGTTAAAGAAGGGACCCTGCCCCGAAGAGCTTACAATCAATATTTTGTTTGGAAATTGGAGTAATACAAAAAAACAGGAAGGAATAAGAAGTAAACGCATAACAATAAAAAGAAGGGATGGCTACATGGGATACATATAAGGAAACCATTAAATGTACCTAGTCTCCATTTTTATTGTGTTTCTGGAAGACTTCAGCTGATAAACAACACAGCATCATTAAGGAAAAGGAATGCTACCAGATGGATATGTGCTGTTGTGTCCCATTTTCTGTCACACAGTTGTCACTATCTGGCTTTCATCGTAGTGTACAGGCCAACCGTTTACACAAGCAATGACGATGTACCGGGGAGAGGTGTCTTCTCTGTACTCACACGGTGGACGGGTTGAGCCACCCCTGAGGGTGCAAGTGGTCACTCTGAAGTGATGTTGGCTGCGTGTCAGGTTCCTATAGGGCACTCCTCCTCCAGCACACACCGCCTGGATATCTCTTTTGGAGCCATGGATGAAGGTGTTGACTTCCTTGCACTCGGGTCTGGTCAGGCCACGTCTGGACATGATCGAGTCACAGTATCGGCCGCGGAAGCTGCTCTTCGGATCATCCCGGTGTTGGTTCAGGAACTTCTCGTAACGGGGATTATTGCCACAGGATGAACCGGGAAGCAGTTCAGCCACCACCAAGATGAGGAGAAAGTAACAGGTTCCTTCAGAAGACCTCATTTTGTCCAGTACCTGTGGGGGGGAGGGGGAAGGATATATCACAAATAAGTTGGCTGGATAGAGGAGAGTCGTCCTTGTAGTCTTGGGCAAGCTGCACAGTCTCAGGGCACCCCCTAAAAGAAGGGAATAGTAAATAACTCTCGAGTATGTTCTACTTAAAAAAAAACTGGAATCTAACTATCTTAGCAGAGAAACATTGAATACGCATGTGCAAGAGTTTCTGTTTAGGCTATGAAGTGAAACACTTTACACACAAATACCACTGTTAAAGACTCGTGCTATAGGCATAGCTACAGTGATCATTTGAAAAGTTAGCACCCCATAAAGGATGCTTGGAGCTTGTTCCCAATCTGCTCTGAAATAAAGCATGTGGCGTCCTGGCTTTCCTGGAAAAAGCTGGAAGCAGTTTTGGCACTCTGTGCTGGCTGGATAGCTCAGTGGTCTAGGTATCTACAGTAGCTCCATAAGCCAGAAGCTGGGAGTTCGATTCCCCACTGTGCCTCCTGTGAAATAGAGACAGTCTATGTAGCCTTGGGCAAGCTGCACAGTCCCAAGACACCCCCAGAAGAAGGGAATGGTGAATCACTTCTGAATATTCTGTACCTGGAAAACCCTATGATGATGATGATGATGATGATGATGATGATGATGATGATGATGATGATTATGATGATGATTATGATTATTATTATTATTATTATTATTATTATTATTATTATTACATAATGTGCACATGCCAAGTAGTATCTTGATACTGTAGAAAAGAATTGCACATTCTCTATAGGTGAAGACAGACAAGCAGCTACTCTGCCTGAATTCTGCATAGCAGCCTAAAGCTTGCTTTCTCCTGCCACTAATCGCAAATCTCTACTTTACTTTTCAGTCTTCGGGACAGAAAAACAACAGGGTGTGTCAGGAGAAAGAAATCCTAGAAATAGTGCATAAGAATGGGAAGGGGAAAAAAAAAGATGTAATGTCCTAACAGAGGATTAGGGCAAGTGGAACAAAGGAACAGAAAAAAAGGGGGGATATTAAGAAACCTACCATTTCCTGCAACAGAAATGTTGGATCAGGCTTCTGGTAGATCAAGCTGAGAGCTGACTCTCCTCTTGTAGTTTTCAGCCCACAAGGAGTCTGCAGAAGTTTCCTCACTGCTTGCTAAATTTGTAAATCATCCCAGACTCGGTGTTACGTAATCTGCATTCCTGCTTTATTGCTATCTAGCTACAAAAAGTAAACAGAAATAAAAAATTGATGAAGTAATAGCACCTCTCTATGTTGTGCAAAATATTTTTTAAAATTAAGCATCTCCCCCCCCATCCGCCTTCCCTGATGGTTTCCCTATCACGTACAAAGATATACCAAAAATATAATTTATTCTATGTGAAGTTTGCATTATCCTTTGCAATCAATAATCTGTAAACATAAGTGAGCCCTGTGACTTTCGCCGATTTCTCTATCTCCTTTGATCTGTTTGATTTGGCACATGGCCAATGGAAGAATTTTGTATAACCAAATGCAAGGTTTTCTTTTTCTTTCATTTTGAAATGATTGTCATCTTGGATCAGGGGAAGAATGGAAAACACCACTGTTAGCTAGAGCAGGAAACCTAGGAGATATTGAATCTCATTTCCCCATAAATTTGTAAACAAGTGGCAATTAAACCTATTGAGTATAGAACTACCACATAGTTTGAGCATAGAGCTCAGAACTCAGGAAAACAGGGTACTGTCTATGGACAAATGCTGGCTCTATGGCTTGGAGACGGGGACGAGCGCCATGCCCTAGAGTCAGACACAACTGGACTTAAATGTCAAGGGGAACCTTTACCTTTACCTATAGAGCTCAGAGCTCTTTATTCATTAGATTGTCTTCTTTGCTTACCCTTTGATCACATTAGATTGTCTTCTTTGCTTACCCTTTGATCTCATACCTTATTGGAATCCTTTCCCAAACCCACTGCTCTTCCATTTTTAAAAATAGGAGCCTCCTAGGGGGATATACAGGCCCGTATAAACATAAAGAAAGAAGTTGCTTCAAATTCTTTCCTATCCATGAGACACCCCTACTGATATATATTTTTTCACTGCAGGGTATGTTCTGCTCATATGATTCTTGAGTGCTGCTGTGGCTTGCCTCGGAGGGTGAGGATCTTTCCACACCACCAGTGTGTCTCAAGACAAGTCCGTTGGTGGTTTGGCTGTACAAATATGTGAGGATTACTACACCAGGATGGGACTGGGGATGGCCTTGGCCACTTGTTCAGCAGGAAGGAGCAGAGAGAGTAGGTCACCTTTTCTGGGTGCCTTCTTCAAGTGAGAGCCTTGAAATGGCATCTGACTTATTTCAACAAACCTCAATATGTCTTTTGTATTGAAAACTATGGCTTTGATTAGAGTTTTCCCCTTCTCCTATTGTATAATGTCAACCCACACAAAACTCATCAACGCATTTAGCCAACACAAGTGTACCTCTTTTAACAGGAAACAGAACTTTAAGATAGGGAGAGTCAAGAAAGTCAGCTTATAATTCAGCAGCCGCCGGACGGGCGTTTTGCGCCCTGGAACGGCGTGGCTGGCTTTTGCCCCAACATCCCCGGATGAAGCAAGAACGTTGGGGACACGTGGGCATGTTGGGAGGGGGAGCTCGCCTATTTAAGTGAGCTCTCCCCATTGTTCGCCCTCTTCCCGTTTCGGGCACCCACCCGCCCTCCCTTATGTTAGTGTGGCTATAGTGGTCGCCTTTTGAGGGGCCGGATAGGAATTTTTGACCTTCAGCCTGATTGGCTTTTGGCTGAGGGGATTTTTCGCCTATCCCACACTACTGAAAGGGTTGTTGGCTTTTAGGTGGTTTTATTTGGTCACACTGGCGGGTTTCCCTGGCTTCCCTGAACCTTTCTTGACCTAAAAAAAAAAAGAAACAAAATATCCCCCTCTAGTGGTCGAAGGCGGAATAGCAGCTTCCCATTAGTTTCTATGGACGGAAAAGAGCAGATACGGATCAAATGGTTTTCAATGCATTCCTATGGGAAATGCAGATTTGACTTGAGAACTTTTTGACTTGAGAACCGCCTTCCAATACGGATTAAGTTCTCAAGTCAAGACCCCACTGTAAGTAATTTCTGCATTTGTACCCGACACGCAGCAGCAAATAGCAGGAGTTAACCTTTGGGTGGAAAACAGATTAACCAAATGAAAGATGGGATGAAAGTTTTTTTTTTCACCAAAATTTACAGCTCTTGTAAAAACAGGTCTGGAGCAAAGTCTTGTTGAAGCTTTCCTCAAGCTACGGTCTAATAATCAGAAGGAAGCAGAGTAATTTCTGCATTTGTACCCGACACGCAGCAGCAAATAGCAGGAGTTAACCTTTGGGTGGAAAACAGATTAACCAAATGAAAGATGGGATGAAAGTTTTTTTTTTCACCAAAATTTACAGCTCTTGTAAAAACAGGTCTGGAGCAAAGTCTTGTTGAAGCTTTCCTCAAGCTACGGTCTAATAATCAGAAGGAAGCAGTGGAAACATTATTTATTTCATGAAATGTTTTCTCCTGCTAGCTCAGTGTAAATATTGCTTGAAATCCTTGAGCAGATATTCTGTCTGTTAAATTTATCTTAAAATCAGCAAAGGCTAATCTGATGAGGAATAAAGTTGAGACGGTTAGTCCTTCCCTTCTGCTTTTTTTTTTAAAAAAGAATATTATCTCAACTGTTATATCTATGACAAAGACTTTAAATTCAGAGGCCTAGCTGACAAAGAATTTCCTAGTATGGTAAACCAGAAGTTTTCAGTTGTTTGATTGCTCAGTGTTTGGTTTATGTTAAAAGTAGAAAGCCAAAGTGGGAAGTTCCCTTGAGTGTACTTTTGCTGGAAAAGCAGAATGTGAATCAACCCTTATATTCCAGGATAAGATATTTTCGTCCCTTTTGTGGCAAAATTCACAGAGAACTAGGCAAATAAACATTCCTGGTGGTCTCTTGGTCCATTCAAACATGGTTACAAAGCTCTTTATAAAACCAACAACTGCTCAGGTGGTGGATCCTGATAGCTTAACAAGCCAAACAATTTATTTTTTTTCTATCGTTCATCTTGGACAGAGGACATTAGTTAACTGGTGGAATGAAAGATTTTTCATCAAAGCTCACGGGTCTCATGAAAACAAAATAAAGTCTTGGTGAAGCTATCCCCAAGACTGAGTCTTATAACTGGAAGGAGGTATTGGAAATTTTATTTATTTCAGAGGTGCTTTATCTTGCCAGTGCAACCCCATAGCTCGGCATCCCCTCGGTAGAAAGTTACTACACAAAGGGTTACTAAAATACAGAACACAGAGGAAGGCTGGGACAATCTCCCTATGACCACAACCTCGCCACTGCGTACCGGCAAGTGGTATATAACAGGAAACCTGAAAGAGGGAAGGCTGATCTAACTGGAGTGCTCAGCTCTCTCGATCACTGGGTCTATTCTTCCAGGGGAAGGCGTGAAGGAAAAGATATTTGTAACAATTGGGTAAGTTTAGAGTCATGGATCAAGTCCAGTTTTCCAGGGGGCTATCGGGTGGGAAGCAGGTTTATAGGGTATGAATGTGTGGCCATGTGATGGAGATAATCTTTTTTTGAGAGGCAGAAGGTGTAGCAGCTAGATTGCTGGACAAAAGCTTGGGAGCCCAGAGTTTGAATCTCCTCTTGGCCACAAAATTCATGGGGTGACGGAGGATCAGTGAGTAGCTGGCAACCCCTCCTATTTCACAGAATTGCGATGGTGATAAAAATGTGGAGGAAGGCCTTGAGCTCCTAGGAAGACGAGCAAGATGTAAATATTGAAAGACATGTTTAGATTTTGGAGTCCACTGGTAGCCAGAGTTTCTGGGTTCTGTTTGCGAATAAAGGTCAGAGGTGACCTGTGATATAGAGAATAACTAGAGATGTGATCAAAACTTGTTATTGATGGTTTGGATGTACAACCACAACGGACCCGTAACACTCTCCCCAAACACAAGGTAAGCATGAACTGCTGGATAGCTCAGTGGTTTGGGTATCTGGAGTTAGATTCTCCACTGTGCCTCCTTGACAGGGGCTGGACTGAATGATCCAGAGGGTCTCTTCCAGTTCTGCAGTCCTCATTATTATCACAACCTACAGATTCTTCTTCAGCTCGGCTTCTGGTTGAGCTATCCAGTTTTAAAATACACGTTTTAAAATCCAAGCCAGAGGAGACTGGACTCCCTGCTCACCATGACTTGAAGCAGGACTCCTTGCCCGCACAGCCAGTTACCATATTTTTCTGTGTATAAGATGCCCCATGTATAAGACGCCCCCATTTTTCTAATCCAAAATTAAGAAATCTAAGTGGGGCTTAGCAAGGGTGGGGGGAAAGGGATCAAAGCGCTGCAGGATCGCTTTGATCCCTGCTTTCCCCTCCACTTCTTTTTGTTCTCTCCTCAGCTTACTTCCGTGTATAAGACAACCCTCAATTTTTAGTTTAAAGATTTTAGACAAAAGTATAGTCTTATACATGAAAAAATAAGGTAATTCCCAAGTTCCCCTACATTGTCCAACAATCCTCCACCCGAATGGATAGCTCAGTGGCTTAGGTCTCCAGCTGCAGGGCCAGAGGTTGGGAGATCGATTCCCCACTGTGCCTCCTGTGAGCAGAGCCAGCCCTGTGTAGCCTTGGGGCAGTCCCTGAATGCCCTTGAAGAAGGGAATGGTAAACTACCTCTGAGTATTCTCTACCTAGCAAAGCTTGGAAAAGATCACTGGAAGTCAGAATTGACTTGATGGCCCACAGTAATTATTAACTAACTGATTGCTGGACTGACTCTTCCTCTTTTTCTCCTTCTTGCTTATCTGGTTCCCTGTTTTTTCCCCCCAGGTTTTTTTTCCCTGTCTAACCCCCCCCCCCCGAATCAACAAATAAATTAGTACTTCGTTGGTTCATGGGGGGAACTTCGTGCTTTGTGTTTCGTCAGCTTTGACAGATCACGAAGCAGGACGACTCACCAAAATGGTGAGTCGTCCCCATCTCTAGTTGTGAGTGATGCCAGCCCATGATATTTTGCTGCCTCAGGTGGGACAAAGATGCACACTATCCGGTCCTTTCCTGATGCACAAGACTGGCTGTCTGAGTTGGTTTCCTCTTCTTCCTCCTTACTCTGTGTAATGGTAGGACTAGC